CAGACATTTCTTTGACTGATCCATCATCTGACAGTCAACAAGAACGTAAAAAGTTGCTAGCATGCTTAACTTCTACATATAGCTTCTTTATGAGTGTTTTGCCTGCTAGGAGAGAATAACATTACCAACTTCTTCATGAGCTACGATAGTACTCGGTTCAATGCTGCTGTATGTACAGTTATGGTCTCTATATTTTCAAAGTGTTGACCTTATGTTGACTTCAACATTCTATCCTCGTTAAAATTTATTTGAATTTTTTAAAATAATTTTAATTTTTTTTTCAAGCATTATATCTTATTTTTTCCTTTAAAACTTTGTCATATATACTAAACGACAGAGAACTTAAAAAAAGAAAAAAAAAGCAAAATGCCAAAATTTGTGCTTGCCTTAATCTTTAAACCATACATTTCACATAAATCACACAAAATAGAATTAAATACCACAAACAAAAAAATTCCAGAAAAAGAAAATTTAAGAACATTGCAAAAAGAGGTAATCGAAACTTGTCTGATAAAATCCAAAAAACAAAATGTTAGTAATTAATTTTTTTTAGGTGAAAATGTGTGCTTGCCTTAATCTTTGTATCATACCTCACTGATTAAAAGGACCTAAGGAGTCCTCAAGCCAAAAAGAAAAAAAAAAAAAAAGAGTCATCATCGATTTATTTTTTGGTTTTTGCATAATTGAATAGGTTTTGTATTATATCCCAGTTCTGATTAAAACAAATGAAATTTAGGTTTTGAGCTAACCTTGTTTTTCTTTGTTGGTATGATTCTTAAAAAAAAATTTAAATTATTTTAAATAATTTTTTATTTTTTATTACGTTTAAATTTTTTTTTATATTTTTATTTCTAACTAGATAAGCTTTGATCATTAATAGTTGATTAATGGTTATTAATAAAAATGTCACTTGTTTTTTTTTTATATGACACTAACATTATATATTGACATGTCATAATGGACGATGACGTGACATATTAATGTAATATGATGATATAATCATATTATATTTTTCATCATCTTCATCAATGTCATGTGGGGATTAAAAGATAAATGATATTTTAATTAATGACAATTAGTCAATTATTAGTCATAAGTGCTTATTTGATTCAAAATAAAAATATAAAAATTTGATTAAACGTAATAAAAAAATAAAAAAATATTTAAATTATTTAAAATAATTTAAAATTTTTTTCAAACATTATACCTTAATTTTTCCTTTAAAATTTTTCACATATACTAAAAGAAACATAAAAAAAAAAAAGTAAAAATATGATAGAGTTTCATAGTAACTGTCTTAAAACTAAAATGTAGTTGAGAATTGTCAATTTAATTTAGGGTGGTTGAAAACAGTCAATTTAATTCATGAACTACAAGGTTTCTAAGAGGAAATAATCATAATTTTGAAGTTCCAAATTGAGTTTATTTTAATCGCATTTGAGGATAAGCATTGATTCAAAACATTGTTATTAACAATTTCCATACAAGTAGACCTCACAATGTTGAATTACTTTTCTAAAAATAAATGGTTTGGTCCAACTCTAAAATGACAATGACACATGCCAATTTTCATAGCACCTTTCATGCCATTCTTTAATTAAGAAGAATGTATAAAATCATTATCAATTCTTTGATAAATATAACTTTAAAATAAGAGAATGTGAATTCAACTTCTTTAAATAAGATAATACATGTGTTGACAATTAAATAAGACGCTCACCAACTCCTTCATCATAATCCCATTATAATAATAATAATAATAAACTAAAAAAATCCTTCATTATAAATCAGAACATTTTTTTTTGTAAACATTTTCTTTTACTAAATATAAAAGATAAAAATTTATCTAAACAAAGATTTGGAAAGAAGACAATAAGATTAGATTGAAAACAAAATCTATTACTTGCGTCACTGTAATAATTTAATCTTCTATTACTATATTTTTTTTATATAATTTAAGTGTCTAATTTTATATATTAAATTTTAAAATTTATTATCCTTATCCATAACTTTCTATTTATTCAAACAAAAGTACAAAAATCTAAAAATAAAAATAAAATATTTTTTAATGACATAGCATATATAGTGTTCAAGCTGTCTCATCTAATTGAACTTCTCGATGCTTTGACCAAATTTTCAACGAGCGCCTAAATGCCTTTTTGTTGTGTAGTTTTCGTTAGGTGGATAGAAGAAAAGCTTAGGCTTCAGCTGTGGCCCCTGCCTTGAATACTAGAAAAGCTAACATTTGCTGGATTTACATGATACTTGTTGTATCCTTTTGGGTGAGGTGGGAAGAAGAAATAAATGGTTATTAATGTGTTTCTACCTATAATTCCTAACTCGTGATTTGTTCATATACCTCATAGTTTGAGACTTTTAGTTATCATATTGGGTAGAAAAGAAAGAAATTTGGACATATATGATTGTTCTCACTTTTAAAATTTACTTGATATGAATTTTTTTTATTTTTTTTATAAGATGGACATCCAATTTGAATCAATTGACTCTAACTTGTTAATGTTTCATATTGTCAAAACTCTCTTGTTGACTCTATCTTTAGCCACGATTATAGCTTTATATCTCTTGAAACCGCCATCAGTTCTCAACTTCACTTTATTGACCCATTTACAGCCTATGGTTTGTGCATCGTTATGAAGAGAAACTATGGACCAAGTCCCATTGTTTTCTAAAGCATTTATCCCATATTTCATTGTTGCTCTCTAGTGAGAATACTTGACTACGAAATGGTTTTGAAATTGGCTAAGAGAAGTAGTAAAGGCTTTATGATCATTAGACAATTGAGTTGAAGAACAAATTTATGAATAGGATGATGGGTTTGCGGCTTTTACGCATCAGTGATCAGCATAAACGCTGTAAACCTTCAAAAAAAAAAAACCTATACAAAGGCAACAAAAGGTCAGAAAATTACAGGAAACTTTAAAGCCAGAGACCTAGCAAAACCCAAGAAACAAAGGAAACTCCCTGCCCTAACCAAAAACCATAAGAGATCAGTGTACACAGGGGTTCAAAAACAAACTCATTCATCCGAGATCAAAAAGCACAGAGGATAGCTAGACTCGAAACAAAAAATACATAATCAACATAGGAATCATGATTGCCTATCCTGTTGCCACCAAAGCGTAGTAGGGAGCAAAAACCAAGGGGAAACAAACAGTGCGCCACCAAAACATAGCCGCAACAGCTTCAAAAACCTGAAGACAAACCGTTTGAGAACTCCAAATATAAAAGTTCACAGATAAACATGGGATAAATCAAACTCTCTCACAACTCCTTCTTTTGCTAACAACAGGAGCACTATTAACCCTTCGTAAAGTGTGCACCACATTCCACTCATTGATTCTCCTTTTCAAGTTTTCAATCCTAAGAATCCATTTCCTATACTTCCAAGGAGCAAGGTTAGGATTGTTTGACCATTTCACGGCAGAGAGTGAGTTTCAGCCCACCTTGGAAGTGGTAAAAATTGTGAAAGCCTTGAGGATAGCTCTAAGTTCAGCCATATTTGCATCTCCTCGCTCGATTGGTTTGGAGAATATAACTTTGGTCTCTCTATTTTCATTCCTTAGAATCCCACCAATACCACCGTCTCCTGGGTTACCTCTTGCAGCCCCATCCACATTGAATTTCATCCACCCCTTAGCTAGTGGCCGCCAATCCACTCTTAACTTGATTTTCTGTTCCTTCCTGGTGATTGTGATTTGATCCATACACTTAAAAATATCAGTGGTGGAGGCTGGTAAATCAACCCACCTGGCTTTCGCCCAAGTGGCCAGCCTAAGCTTTGTAAGATCCAAAGTTTGTGAGAAATATATCTATCACCATTATTTTGCACGAGTCCATTCCAAGCATACAAGAAAGTCTTCGCATTTCCCGAGCTTACCCAAGAATAACCCCATAAACCGAGCCAAGAGCTCCATAATTTCCAAGATTCGTAACATGAGAAAAAAATGTGCTCCACTGTTTCAAAATCTGATTTACAAAACTCGCATCATGCACTACTACTGTTAAGCATATCTCGTTTGACGAAGGCAGTTTTGACTGTGACTTTCTTTAAAACCATCTGCCACACAAAAACCTCCATTTTATGGCATGCTAACCCCTTCCATGCAAGTCTCTAAATGTCCTCACCTAACCTCTTTTCCCTCACAACGCTCTTACAAAAGGACCCAGTGTAAATTCCATTAGTCTCTCCCTCCCACACCAACCTATCTTTTAGGCTAAGAACTAAAGGAAACTTGCTCAATAACTCTATCATTGCCTCCTATTGACCCATTTCTCACCCAAAGACTCTCCTTCTTGACTTGATCTCCAAAGCCATTCATTCTCAACCCAAACCCCATACTCATTAACCTTACCAACCTTTTTTACCGCAAGTGCAAAAATTCTTAGAAACCTAGCTTTTAAAGACCCTTCCTCGACCGACT